AGAGTGATCGCTAAAATAAGTAGATCGTATCATTAGACTAATTCCTTTTTGTAAGTCAATTTAGCTTCTTGCGAAATTCCGTAATTTAATTTATCATCCGCCGTAACTTGTACTTTAGCGAGCAGTTTTATCGAGAAGAACATAGATATCTATGTGCAATCATATATATAATACTAGTTTTAATATCGTTAAGAAGGTCGAGACGTTATTTGTATCTACGTAAGTGCAGCGATAACACCCGACTTTCGTCGCAGATAATTTTCAGCTAATCCGCTGAGAAATTCATCGTTTATATTTATCGCTTCTTTTCAATCTCGGAAAAATGAATTTTGCTGGCACGGAAGACGTTCTTAAATCATTAACTTTACAGGGCTGTACAAGGATAAAGCGGTGCGCTTAGTGGTCGTCGATAATGCCGACGCGGAGACATCGTGTATCCCTTAGCCCGTAGAAACGGTTTGCCATCTCCTCGCCAGCCTTTTCCTCCGCACCCTCTGATTCTCCCTGCCCCTATTTCTTTCCTTTCCTCACGTTCGTTCTGTCCCTGTCTGGTTGCCGAGTTCCTATGGGACTCCGGGAACCTTGCCGTTCGCAAATCCCTTTCCTTGCCCCGACGGAGCAAGAAATGCAACTCTCCTTGGGGAATTAATTGCGCCGTAAAACGTAGATTCAAATCCGCGCTTCAAAGGAGAGGAGAGACGTGGTACGAGAGAGGAAGATAGCGACGCCGTTCCTTTTCTCCCATCGTCCGAAAGGTTTTCCCAAGATGGTTCTCATCTCGGCTGCAATCAGTGTCGTAAATTGCTTGCAATCGGCCCTGCAATTAATTCCGGCTCATCCTCAGGGATTTATTATTCTCAATAATACTATAATATTCTTAGGTGGCGAGACAGTCTCTCGTTCCCGCGGAGCTATTTTCATTCTATCTTGACACAGACATATTGTCTTATATGAAGTTACGTATGGCGCATCACGTACTTTTCATTGTACAGTTTATATGTAAAACCCGGATCACTCAATATTCAGATTCTATATCGATCGATCGAAGATTATGAGTGAATTTATTTATATCTTATATCGGCGTACCGCTAAAATTGTAATCGGAAATAATGTCTTTATCCTTTCGCCGTGTAAGAAACCGCGTCTAAGTAAATTCATGGCTTTTACATTATGTTTTAAGCTGTCCATTCCATTTACATAGGCTTTAATCTTGTCTAAGATTGCACCGTTGTATCAGAGCCAAGTAAGCCGAAAGACCATTGTATTATAATATAATATAGGAATATATGATATCCAGAGCAAACAGCTATTCTATCTTTGTAGAATAATTCACAATCTACTTTTAACAATGCATGATTTAACAATTCAGAATAGATTTGATGCAATTGCTATAATTTAATATTTATTAAAAAGCTAGTAGACCATACCTAATTTGTTTATACAAATTTCTAAACTTTTATGACAACTCTTCCAATTACTTATAAATATTTAAGGCATATAAAAACTTCCTCGTATTATTTTTATTTTATATTAAATAATTCAACGCGAAGAAACTTTTAAATTAATCACATAATTTCTAATTACTATTGCAATTACGTTGACCGCACCTTTCATTGGATCAGATTAAACGGGTTTGCATGATATAAGTGTGTTCTCTATGTGATGTCTATTTACAAGCATTTCTAACGTTCATGTGCAAACATTCTTTAATGAGTCTTTATTTAAAAAAAAAAAAAGTAAACTTGACTTACTAAAAAATGTTCAAAAAAGGCTCTAGATCCATAAAAACGCCCTTTGCTTAATCACAAAACTGTCTACTTAAATAAAAAATGCAAAAAATGAAATCTATCAGCGTAAAGAGTGTTTTCTTTGACAGATTGAAGACGCCCCGTTTGACTTGACGTCTTTATGCAGAGATCAACATCGCTCTTCTTCATTAACATCAGTCCTGATTGAGATGAATATGTTGAAAGTAAAAATGACATAAAATCAGCTTTTATGGTCGATTGAACTATTCATCGACCATTTATCGAATGTGTTTAATATTGTAATCTTCGGATTATATACAGCGAAAAAAAAGAGAAAAAAACACACGTTTCGTAAGTCTCTTTAAAAACTTTATGTATTTTAATAAATCTTAAAAAAATTATCATAACTGTATAAATTTATTACAATAAATGTGTGCGTATTTTTTTATATAAAATAAATAACAATTTTACAATTCAATTATTTTAATATAAAATTTTAAAAAAGTTTAACATAATTTTATAACAAATTTTTATTGCAATTTTATTATTAATAATATTAAAATATTATATTTAAATTGCTGTTGTAATATATGCGACAGAATACTTTAATCTGATCATGGAAAATGTCAAAGAAACATTGAACATAATAGGACATGTAACAAATGACACGTGGACTATAAAACATTTCTATGTAGCATCTTCATCAATTGATATGCAAATTTATTTCAATGATTTATTCAATGATAATGAGAAATTTAGTAAAATTAACTTTGATCAAATGTAACTCTTTTTTTATTATATGTTTTTAAAGTACATAGAAATTTATTTAAACAAAAATATTTATATAATTAAATATTTTATTAAAATGAAATTGTTTACTACCGATAAAAATTGCATAAAACGGTTGTATAAAATCGTCAGGCTTTCTTCGGTGTCAATAACAATAATACTTAAACGCACCCAATTTTTGGACTTATTGAGAACTTATTAATAACACATTAAATAAGTTGCACACAGTGGCGTATTCACAATATTTTTTCGAGGGGAGGGGGAGATTTAAAATTCACACACACAAAATAAAACAGTATGACCAAAAGTCAGGATAATTTTATATTGCACACTAAGAAATATAAAAATGTTACACCGTTTAATAAAAAATACAATTTATTTTTATAGTAGTAGTAATAATTATAAATTGATATCGAGTTTTCTTGGTATTTCTTAAATAATCAGATTAACTGGATTGCTTAAAAAATCAGAAAATTTATATGTATATATATATGGCTGCTAAATGTTTCTTAAGTAACTCATTTAAATCCTTTCACAATATGAATATCTTAAAGTAAATATGATATACGTTCGAACAGCAGTATAGCTGGAGAAGCTATCATAATTATTTGTGTGTGTAGGAAGATAATGTAGGAATATAGCGTAAGAACATAATTTAATAAGTATAGGAGAGTTGTGTTTTCGTGGCGATGATCGAGAAAATAGCGATCAACCTAAACACGACGTCAAAAGGCGTCCGAGCATCGGCGGCCGTTGGCCGGCAAGACGAGCGAGCGAGAGCAGCTCGCGTGAATCGCCAGAGAAGAGCAGAGAGTTGTTTACCACGGAACAGATCGGTCGTAATCATCAATTTGTACATATACTCTCTTGTGTTAATATATCTATCCTGACATTAGTATTTTATTTTATTTTTTTTATTAATTGGGAAACCCTCCATCAATTTCCCTTACATGTGCAAAGATATTGGCGTGAATTTTAAATTATTAAAATTGTGACTATAGTTAATAACAGACAAAAAATACAAAAATTTGAACGCATTTTATTTAACTATAGATTTTTTACTTTTTGCTGTTAAATTAATAAAAAAATAAAGTATATTAATTAAATTTCGGGGGGGAGGGGTTTAACTTCCAAACCCGCTTCCTGTCCCCCATGGGTGGGCCACTGGTTGCACAAAACCGGTAATATGTAAATGTAAATGAAGTCAAGCATCTTGCAAAAATAGATTCCGGTTGCATCCGTCGTTTCAGTAAAAGAGATGGAAGAGATGGACTCAATTAAAATAATAATCCATGGGTAAAATAATAACATTATTTATTTTTGCAACTAATTTTGCAAAACAGAAATCACTGTTTCAAAAGTAAAATTCTATGTAAAGTTACATAAATAATAAATTTAGTTTGCCTATCTTTTGGAAACACCCATATTATGCTTTTATTCTTATTTACTGTTTCTAGAACACATTGCTAAATATAAATATTTATTTGTAGATAAAGTTGCCATAATTTTTGTAAAAGAATATTGGCGTCCGCTATATCAAGCAACGTTGCCAGTATTGCTATTTTCGTATATTTCCTTAATAATATGCATATTAGAAGAAAAAAATTTAGAACAAGTTTCTTAGTCTGCCTTACTATTTTCCTATACAAGTCTTCACGACTGCTTTCTCAAAAAAACCATGACTGGAACCATATAAAACCAACGCTTATAACTAACTCGACTATTCACGAATAACCTTGCCAACAAGCAAGATGTTCTACGCACTTTGTACATTTTATCATTGTGGTGTTTGGAATTAGCGCAGCAGAAGAAGTGCCTCTTCGTAAGTGTTTTGAAAATACTTCGCATTTTACTTTGCAAATACTTTGCAAAGATATTACAACACTAATTAACCTACTGATAAAAAAGAGCAATAAGTTTTTTACTTTTCAAGCAATTATAATTAATAAATTAATACAAATATTTAGCAATTATCTAATTTCTAAATTATATTTAAAATTTTCTTACTTTATGAGTTTTTTTCATTTCTGCTTTCTCTCTCTCTCTCTCTCTCTCTCTCTCTCTCTCTCTCTCTCTCCCTCCTCTCTCTCTCTACTGTTATTCTAATCTATTTTTATTTCTACTTAGCACCTATCACCCTTTGTAAACGGAATTCAGTTAATTTCGATGACTGTTTAAAAACTGCGATACAGGAAGCGTGGCCACAATTTGTTACAGGTATACTGCTTTAAAAAGAATTAATATGATTACATAATTTACATGTTTTCCTAATAACTGAACAATGCATATATGTATCTTAAAAATGTTTGTTAAACTAATTACAATAGTAATACAACTTTTATCAATTTTTGTAAATTGATTAAATTATATCTGGACAAAATAAAAAAATTTTAATATATATATCATTAATTTTAATACGTGATTATATATCAAGATACCGATACTAATAATGATTTATTCATTATGACAGGTCTTCCAGAATTCGATTTTCCACCTTTGGATCCATTCTTTTATGAATATGGTAAAGCAGTAATTGATAGAGGTTTAGTAGATGGAGTAGCAAACGTATCAAATTTCATTGGTGAGGGTTATGCAAAGACACGTTTTTTGGGTGTAAGATCGCATTTTGCCGACAAAGTTTTTCGCTTGAATATTAACGTACAAATACCAAAAATAGTTGGTTCTGGTGAACTTGAAACAGAAAGTATTCTAGCAGAGTTCAAAATAAATGGCAAAGGTAAAATAATACACTCTGTGCATTTTTTAAAATCGAAAAACATTATAATGTTATATTTATATCACTATTATAATTTATGCGTCAGGGCCATTCAATATAACTATGGAAGGTCTGCAAGTTGAATGGATTATAAAAGGCCACGTAACAAATGATACATGGACTGTAGAAGATTTTTATGCAGCTCCTGCGCTTAAAAAACTCACGCTCTACTTTGATATACTCGACAATAAAGAATTCAGTGAGTACATTAATTTCAATACGATATATTACACACATATTAAAAATTAATAACTCGTGACTTTACGAAGTAAACGTTTATTAATTTTTATATATATTTTATCGAAAATATAAAGCTGTTTTATTCAAACTTTGTCATGATCAGTTTTTCTGGAAATTACATTATTACATATAAATTTTTATTTGCAGATGACTTTGTCGTGAATTTTATAAATGCATTTTGGCCGTCACTATATCAAGCAATATTGCCAGCAGCAGTAAAAATGTGGAATCCGTGGATGTGTGACTTGGCCAATCGCTTCTTTTCGAAAGTTTCTTTTACGAAAATATTTCCATAATACTTATATACTTTTTGAGATACTTATTATAAAATAAATTTAGACTTTGCAAAAAATTTAATATACATTCAATCATGCAAATGCAAAAATTAGGTCAAAGAACCAAAATTTTATGTTTCATACATTGTAAGTTACATTTAAGTAATCGGCTATTTGCACGTTAAATGTATAGTTGTATGTTTCGCACGGTTAAAAAAAATTATAATAATATTAGCTTAATAAACACGTATAATAAGAACTCATACATACATATATAAAATTACCTGTACAATTACAAATACACATTCCATTTCTGAACAATTAACATATTTGCAGAAGAAAACGTTATAAACCAAACAGTTTTTTATCTTTTTTTTATCCTCTTCAATACGTTTTAACGACAACTGTGCTAAAAAGACCTTGACAACGAAGACTATATAAAGCGAGCACTTATAATTGACTGGAATATTAACAGATAAACTTCTAACAAACAAGATGTTCTACGCACTATGTATATTCATCGTTGTAGTGCTTGGATTTAGTGCAGCAAAAGAAGTTCCTCTTTGTAAGTATTTGAAAATACTTTGTACTTTAAAAAAATATTACAATATTATATATCATACTAATTAAAAATAATAATGTCCTTCATTTTTCAATCAATACATTTAACAAATTAGTATATAAACTTACACTGGAAAAAAAGTTTTGTTGTATTATAAAAACTTCTGGTTGATTCTACTAGTCCATTTGTTCGAAAATGCGCGAAACCAATTTTTTTATTGGAATTACCAGAGGATTCTGTTTAAATCTACCAAAATTTCTTGTTAACTTTATTATATCGATTTGTTAGGTTAACACAACTTTGTAGTTAAGAAACAAGTTCGGATAGGTGTGGTTTTTTTAAAATAATAATATATTTTGGTTTAAAGTATACTCAGTGATGCGATGTTTCCTACCGGGCTCCCGGCACCCGAGCCCGATAGGAAATACTGCATCACTGGTATACATTTATTTTATAAAAAGAAAACACCATGTGATCATAAAACTTTTCGGATGTAAGACTGATGGTAGAGAACAAGACGTAAGCACTGACGTCTGTCGTAGTCGTGGACGTATGGTAAAGCAGAGAAAAACATAAGTCGTGAAACGTTCACACAATAGCCTTTTACGAATTACGTTTTTCTCTGCCTTACCATACGTCCACGACTACGACTTACGTCTCATTCTCTGCTATCAGCCTAACTAATATTCCGTAATAGATTCCACGACACGACGTAAACTGTCAGCGAGATCAGTTGAGACTGCTCCAATTGCATTTGCTACACTGCTACTGCACCGCGAGTAGCGAAAACGCAATAGCAATGTAAAAAATGAATGCGGCAAACAGTTGATCAACTGTTCAGTGAATGATGACGAAACTATTGCAGAGCGCTGCGATTTATGTAAATATAACAAGAAATTTTGTAGATTCAACAAGAAAACACTTAATCAGATCTTTATAGTAAAGTTAATCAACCGGTGTAGTTATAAAATGTAAAATCTTGTTATGATAACCAGAAATTCTGTTTTGTTTAACAAAAATACGCTCAACTAAAAGTATTTATTAATATAATAAAATCATTTTTCTCAGTGTAGTAAATGACTAATTTCTAAATTATATTCAAAATACTCTTACTCCATAGGTTTCTTTTATTTCTACTCTTGTTATTCTATTCAATTTTGATTTCTATCTAGCACCTATCACCATCTGTAAACGAAATTCAGTTAATTACTCTGACTGTTTAAGAGCTGCGATACAAGAAACATGGCCACAATTTGTTAAAGGTATACTTTTTAAAAACAATTAATTTGATTCTATATATTTTCCTAATAATTAAACTATGCATTATTTTATAAATATAAATATATATAATCTGTAAAATGTTATCTTAAAAATGTTTGATAAATTAATTATAACAATAATAAAACTTTCATAAATATATTTTCATAAATTGATTAAATTATATCTGGACAGAGTAAAAAAATTTAAATACACATATCAATAATTTTATAATTAATCTTAATACGTAATTACATATCAAGATACCGATATTAATATTGATTTATTTATTATGACAGGGCTTCCAGAATTCGATTTTCCACCTTTGGATCCACTAATTTATAAATTTGGTAATGCAGTATTTGATAGAGGTGCAATACACGGAGTAGCAAGCGTATCAAATTTCATTGGTGAGGGTATGTCAAAGACTCGTATTTTGAATGCAAGATCGCATTTTGCCGATAAAATTTTTCGCTTGGAAATTAACGTACAACGTACCAAAATTAACTGGGTTCTGGGTGAACTTAAAGCAGAAGGAACCTTTAGCAGGATTCAGAATAAGTGGCAAAGGTAAAGCAATACAC